TAGTCACACCTAAAATATAATGTTCTTTGATCCATTGCTGGAAATAATAAAAAGAAAAATTTATCTCACACATTATTTTCCCTTCTGAGAGTAAAAGAAAAGAACATTAAACCAAAACATAATGCTAAAACGCAAAGGATTTAAAAATTTAAAAACGACCATCTTGATTTTTCTCTTGAATAACATGACTTACGCACAAAAGTAACCCAACTAAGATGAAGCATTCTGCAAAGAAAGACAAAGTAGACTCTAAAATGCTAAATTGTCAATTCTACACAGAAATAGTCTCTTGTGTAGAAGCAATAAACTGCAAACATCTTATAAATTGTTCTTAAATTGTTGGTTTTCAATTTATGTGGAATAGGATATTTTGAATACAAGAAAGTAGAACAAGAAGCATAAATAATTTCAATTTTGTCATTAAAAATATTCTGTTTGCCCAAATCCAGTTTTAGAATCTTGTGACTATTCACCAGAAAGTTCAATTTAAGTCCTCAGACACATTGGTTTAAATACACATTCTAGGTTATTAAAGAAAGAGTCTGATGCCTTTCTGGAGAGTTATCAATAGAAGTAACAAAGATCTACATACAATATATGCTTCATAACTAAAATGAAGGAAAATAAACAGGATAGAAAAAGGATAACTTTTTGCTAAGTAAGTCAGCTATTATCTTTTCTCATCTTAGACTATTTTTTAAATTACTACTTCAAATCAACAATTACAAAATATAAGTCTCTAAAGCATTTCAAGTAAACAAATTCATAATTTCTAGTAAAAAAAAAAAAAGGAAAATCTATTAAAACTACACTACATTACACCCTCCGGTGGGCAAGCATCCATGGAAAAATATAAAAAGACTTAGGTGGATTTTCCACTCAGTTAAATCAGTATTATAACTAATGAAATGATGGCTCTAAAAACCTCATAAAAATTCACACTATTTTAATCACTTGTTTTGGTATCTGAGTTAGATGCAGTAAAGATTTTTTTTTTATATTTCGATATTGTGGTAGAGTAAGAAAAAATAAAATCATGATCTACTTCATCTTCCTTTAAAAGCAAAGTGCTATCAGGCTCTTATTTGTTTAACTTACAAAGAAAAAAAGGTAAACTGTATAAATCTCATACAAAGATATATAATTAAAAGATAAAAGTATTCATATGAGCTGCAAAAGCCAGGCATTAATAATTTAAAGCAGTATTCAAAAATTATGGTTCCTTAGTGAGAACTATGGCAGAAAAGTAGTATGTATGTTCATTAAGTTTTTCAGGAAAACAACTCACATTATCACCTGGTAATATTTTGTATTACTGGTCTCATGAGGCTATGCGGTTACTAAACAGAAATATAAACACACTTAGAAAAAATTAAGAGACTACCTATAAGAGCCCTTTTTCTATATAACTAATGTTTCAGCACTTAAATGACATAATAGAAGCAAAGACTAGATTAAAAGTATTTGTACAAGGTCCAAATATCACTTAGAATTTCTCTTGTTAACTTCTCAAAATCCTTATTTATTGTTAGTAAAATTTACAACAAAATACAAAACATCCTTAATACAAATACCTAGAAATGTCATATAAATATGTACATTTCCCCAAAATGCATCGAGGAGTTATTGAATATATATTCTCCAGGAAAAACCAGTACAACTAAGTTTACTTGAGGTCTTGAACTTCTCACAAATAGGCTATGAAACTAGAAAATAAAGGCCAACAGTGACATCTAGTGGACATTTCTAATATATAGCACTTACATCAAATCAAACCATTTTATTGCTAGTGTTTCACTTGCAATATATGAACTGTATGACAAACCTTTAGTTATAAATCCAAACAAGCCAACTCCACTTACAAAAAGCTTATCAATATGAGTGATACAATCATTTGATAATGTGAAATTTTTAATAAAGTAGAATTAAACATGTCAAGTGATCAGAGAACTAAACACTGATTAAATGTATCAAATATGTGACTAAAAGGGTTATCAATTGGTCCAATAATAAGAGTCCAGGTGCGGTGACTCAAACCTATAATCTCAGCACTTTGAGAGGCCAAGGTGGGTGGATAACTTGAGGTCAGGAGTTCAAGACCAGCCTGGCCAACATGGCAAAACCCTGTCTATACTAAAAATACAAAGGAGACTGAGGCAGGGGGATCACTTGAATATGGGAGGCAGAAGCTGCAGTGAGCTGAGATCAGGCCATTGCACTGCAGCCTGGGTAACAGAGAAAGATTCCATCAAAAAAAGAAAAAAAAAAGATTATGATTTTTAAAAGTTTTAATATTCTGAATTTTAAAAGCACTGAGTGAACAGAAGAAGTGAAGAAAACTAAAGGCTGATTTATTTATGAATCTATTCAAGCATGGGAAGTACAGAGTAACCAGCATGGCCTGTCACACAAATGAAGAAATGCTTTAATTAAAACTAATTTACAACATGGAAATTTTTCAACATTTCAGAAGCTGAAATTCGTTTTTAAGAAAAGTTTTTTTTTTAAGTAAACTAAGGGCCGGCCATGGTGGCTCCCGCCTGTAATCTCAGCACTTTGGGAGGCCAAGACAGGTAGATCACTTGAGGCCAGAGTTCGATACCAGCCTGGCCAGCACAGTGAAACTCTGTCTCTACTAAAAATAGAAAAAATTAGCCGGTCATGGTGGTGCATCCCTGTAATTCCAGCTACTCAGGAGGCTGAGGCATGAGAATTGCTTGAACCTGGGAACCAGAGATTGCAGTGAGCCAAGATTGCACTACTTCACTCCAGCCTGTGTAAGATACTGAGACTCCATCTCAAAAAAGTCATCTCAAAGTAACAAACTTGAGTTCAGATGTCAGCAAGATGACACTCCCGTGTTCACTGCAGCATTAATCACAATAGCTAAGATACAGAATCAACCTAAATACTCATTAATGAATAAATGAATGAGTAAGAAAACTGGGGGCTATATATACCCAATGGAATATTATACAGCCTTAAAAAGAAGGAAATTCTGTCATTTACAGCAATGTGGATACAAGTGGAGAACACTACTATGTTAAATGAAACAAGCCAGGTACAGAAAGACAAATATAACACGATCTTATTCACATATGGAATCTTAAAAAGCTGAACTCAGAAGCAGGAGGAGAATGACGGTTTCTAGGGGCTACAGTGGAGGGAGGAATTGGGGAGACATTGGTCAAAGGGTACAAAATGTTGGTTACACAGGAAGAATAAACTCAAGAGATCCAGTATGTAACATAGTGACTACATTAATAACAATGTGTTATATTACTGAAGATTGCTAAGAGAGTGGATTTTGATAGTTCTCACCACAAAAAGTGGTATGTGAAGTCACGCATATGTTAATTAGCTTGATTTAGCCATTCTACAAAATATACATATTTCAAAACATAGTACTGTACATGATACATACAATTTTTATTTAATATATTTTTAAAATATAAATATTTCAAAGGACAAAATGACAAGAAGAATACCTTGGACAACATCCTCACCTGTTCTTTTTTGTCAGTACATATCCAAATATTACAAGATAACAACACTTATTTAATAGGAAAAAAATGAAAGTACATGTGATTTGCATTAAGTATTTTATTACTAACTCAGATAAGAGATATGAATTTAGAGACACAGTCTTTTTTTTTTTTTTTTTTTTTTTTTTAGACGGAGTCTCATACTGTGGCCCTGGCTGGCACGATCTTGGCTCACTGCAACCTCTGCCTCCTAGGTTTAGGTGATTCTCGTCTCAGCGCCTGCTACCATGCCCAGCTAGTTTTTTAAATTTTTCTTAGTAGAGACGGAGTTTCACTATGTTGGCCAGGATGGTCTCAAACCCCTGGCCTCATGATCCCCGCCAAGGCCTCCCAAAGTGCTCGGATTATAGGCATGAGCCACCGTGCCCAGCCAAGACCCAGTCTTAATATAAACACTAAATCGAATAAGAGCCAAAACCACAAATTAACTGGAGGCCTTTTGAGATCACAAGTGCTTCCCAAATCTCTCAGAACCACCAGATTTTAATGATTATTTGGGCTTAATGATTTTCTGACCAAAACATGTCAACAGAGCTTCACAATTATGTGGTTCAAAGTCATCGAAAACATCTCTCAAATACTTCAGGACTAAAGCACTATGCTAATAACATCATGCAGGATAAATACATTGTGGTACATTCAAACAATGAAATACAACTCAGAAGTAAAAAAGAATGAAGTACTGACACATGCAACGACAGTGAATCTCAAAAAACCTAGGCTGAGTGAAAGAAGCCTTACATAAAAGTTATATCTTGCATGACTCCATTCATATGACATTGTAAAACAGGCAATATGGATCTATGATTTTAAAAAAATCAGTAAATAAAATCAGTATAATTGTTATTTCTGAGGGTCAGATAGAGATGAAGACTGACTAGGAACAGGTATGACAGAATTCTCTGGAGTGGTGGAAATGTTCTATATTTTAGCAGGAGTTGGGATTATATAAATGTATGTGTTTCTCAAAACTCACCAAATAATACACTTACGATTAGGCAAAATTGTTCATAAATTTTATCTTAAAAAATGAACATTAAGCAAATGTTGATAACTCTACCAATATATCATGCTGGTATTTGGAGTAAAATGAACAAATACCAGCAAATTATTTTTAAATGCACAAAAAAATTAGATGAACAGATTGTAATAAAGCAAATACAGCAAAACATTAACAAGTGAAGAATCTAGGAGGTGAGTATATTGGGGTTTCAATTCTTTGAGATTTTCTGTATGTCTAATAACTTCCATAATAAAATATTGTGGAAAAAATAAAGAGAACAATCAGAATTCAAAAGAAAATAAACTATAGACTCAAACATGTTTTCTCCAATATTAACAACTTTCCTTTTATATATTAATATTATAACCTGTCTAATGCAATATCAACTGTGACCATCTTCTAATGAGTAAAAGTTAAAGGATGACATATTTTTAAAAATTTGAAAGACATACCCGAATTTCTTGAAGGTTGTGAAAATTATTTCCTACTCTGACTGAGATCTTGCTTGGAGTATAGCTTTCATCAGATTTGTAGTCTGCATAAATACATAATGTCTTCACTGTTGTTTTTCTTCTAAAAGCAATGAAGTAAAAATAACATGTACTTCATCATAAAAAATGATTTCCAATGTATCTTCTGATTTTAAAAATCATAGTTTGCTAAAGGGGGTATTTGAATCAACATTTTCAGGTCTTTTCATTTCAACAATAAAAATCAAAAACAAAAGTATAGGTCCAGAAGATTTTTCATTATACAGACATCTCCTATGTGGAACATGGTCAAGAACCAGATGTAAGCAAAGAAGAATCAGTTAAGCCAAATTAGGTACTTTATCATACAAACAAGCATTAAGGATTACCATCCTCTTCATTTGTATTTTAGACAAAGAAATTATTCTCATAAGTTTGGTTTCCTTTACTAGGTACTTACTTCATTTCCTATATTAATACTTGAAAATAGCTAGCTAAGTGAAAAACTGAGTCCAGCAAAGAGAAAACTATCTTTTTTAAAAAACAGAAAGAATAACCTAGTTTTAATGCAAGAAATAAAATTCTGCTATTGATTTTTTTTCTTTCTTTCGCTACTGATTTTAAAATATATATATTCTAGGGAAACAAGAAATATATAAAAGCAAATTAACCTCAGAAAAGAACGCAAGTGGCCAAAAAAAAACATGAATATATGTTCAATGTCTAATAATCAAAGGAAAAATTAAAACACAAAGATAATAGTTTTATCATACTGTAAAATATTTAAATGACCTACAAAACTCAAATTTGATTAGAAAAAGGCACTTTCATTGCCAGTTAGTAGAAGTACAACCTTTGATCCACTTACAACTTCTAACAACACATTAAAATATGGTAACACAATTACTCAAAAATTGATGTTTAATGAAGGCTGGCCTTGGAGAAAAAAATAGATGCAGAAAAATCTTGTCCTGTGATTAAATCATTAAAAAATGAAAAACAGCCTAAATATCCATGGCAGTAGGGAACTGAATAAATAAATGACAATATATCCATTCAACGAACTGCTATACAACTATTCAAAATAATCATGTAGCTAATATAGTTACAGTAGGAAAAAAGATTACAAAACAATATATACAGAAGAATCACATTTGAGGGAAAACAACAAATTTTTAAAGGCATGTCAATCTATATTTGTGTATAGAGAAAGATCTTGGTGGAATTACCCAAAAATAGTAAAATTGACTGTTTTCATGGGATGGGACTATAAGAGATCTTTATTTTCTTCTTTATGATTTTTATATTTTCTGAACAATTTTTCAGAATGAGAATCTGCTATTTGGCTGAGGGGAGACCTAGATGATTTTAAAAACTAACCCCAAAACCCATTAAGAAATCTATTTACATGTGCTTTAAAAGTTAAGTTCTAGTATAAACTGGCACTAACTTAGTAACAATGAACTCCTTGAACAGAAATAGTCTGTGTCAAAAGTCAGCCTATAAAAACAGCAGGGGATCTGTAGCTCTTAGCGTGGAGGCCAAACTTCTGTAGCCTCAGCTATTCACTAGAAAGGAATAGGGAAAGTTAAGGACTTTTCCTCAGATCAAGAGGTAAAACATTAAATACCCAGGAACTGCTGACAGCATAAATATCATTACCAGGTTTTTAAAAGAGGCCAAAGGTATCAAACTGACATCTTTCTCTTTCTGCTGAGCCAGGAAGGAGACAGGAGAGGAAGTAAAGAAAGACAGGAAATTTTTGAAGACCTTTTTCCTTGATGAGCCACAAGCAGGAAGTAAATGATCCATCATGGAAAGATCAAAGACCACGAAGATGACTCTTAATAATATTTTTTAAGGAAGAAAAGAAAGCAGATCTAAAGGATCAAGTTTTTTTGCTCACAATAATTATATTTCTAAATTGTGGAATTCAGGTACACTTACTCGCTGCCTTCAAGTTGATGAGGGCAAGGTTAGGAAAGGCAAAGAATACTAAAAACACTAATGTTAATAAAAACAGTAACAGCAAAGAGCAAGTGAATATTTTGTGTCTGGCCTAGAAGTAATGATCTCTCTCTCTCTATATATATATATATATCGTCTCATTTATTTCTCAATGTTGTGAAATTAGGAACTATTATTACCTCCGTTTTTCTGATTTTAAAAAAACTGTAACACTCAGGTTAATAACTGGCTTAGGGTCAAAAAGCTAGTAGGAGGGCACAGTTGGAATTAAAAAATGTGTCTGTCTGCCTCACATGGTCTTAAGCAAAACATCCTTTTAATTAACTGTGCTTAGCTCATTGACATGAGTTTACAGTAATAGGTAGGTGTTTGTAGTTCTTTAAATTGTACCTAAATCATGAGTTATTACCGTAAGATTCATGTCACCACAGAAATTGTATGTATAATTTTCTATATACATAGTTTCATTAAATTTGCATAGGAAACTGTGACCTGACCCAGAGTTTAAAATGATTAAAAGGTAGAGTAAAAATTTTTAAAACCATTTATCAATTTTATCTCATGATGAATTTTAAAAATAATATTTAATATTATTTTTAGCAATGTATGTGAAAAGATTAAATACACAGACTATTACATACAGTGGCAGTAACTCAAATTGCTCAAATCATCATTATCATAATAAACACTACATAGTGAATAGTCACTAAATGCCAGGCATCATGCTATATTCGTAGCATAAGATACTGGCCACAGAGAAGGAAGAGTTAAGCGTTAAGTGTTACTTACGTCATCAGAAATAAGTAACACTCTCTATCCTTTCACACCCTTTCTCCTGAGAAGGAGCTTCTGACAGGAACCAAATATTTGCTTTGTTCCTTCAGGCCACCAATTTAATAGAGGCACAAGCTACCTGGTCTAATGGTATAACTGGATAGGTAAGGCAGTTTAATTCTAGGGTTCAACATCAGGAAACACACTTGACTGAAGATACAATGCAGTTATGTTTCTCAAACATCAGTTCTGTCAGTTTTACAAAGCTGATATTTTGGCCTCCTCGTGCTACCACAGATACTGAGCATGTACTAAATAATTTCTCATCTGGTTTCAAACCCATCAAATTCCAATGGAAGACATTAGTGAAAGATATTCCTAGTTGCCTAACCTAAAATCCCTTTGTCCCCCCTTTCTTCCTAACATCTGGCTAAAAGATCCAACTTCCCTTAAAATTAGGTAGGACCATATGAATACGTTATGTCCAGTAAGATTTAAACAAAATGATGGTGTGTAATAAAGAAGATTTCTTTAAAAGAAAAACATGCTCCTTTTACCTTTCTCATCTACTTACTCCTTCCTGCTACTGGGGATATGGACATAATGGATAGAATTCCACTAGGCATCTTGCACCGTAAGACAACCTTGAGGATACAATCTACAAGCTAAGAATGGAGGAATGTAAAAAGAGAAGGAAAATGGGTCCACAAACACACTGTGGGGCTGCCACAGCACTCCTGGGCTGCCAGCTCCTCTTACACGAAGAGGTAGAAGAAATACATTTCCACTTTGCAGAAAACACCATTATCAAAAGCTCTGTTACTAAAAGTTCTGATTTCTAACTAATACAGCATTACTGTGTCTTACAGATGAAGAAACTGAGGTTCACATCAGGTTAAGTATGTAGTCCTTGTTTACACATCTAGTAAAGCATAGAGCCAGCACTTAATCTATGCCTACGTGACTACATTATATAGGAGTAACTAATAAATGCTAAGGTACAAAACTTAAATGTATGTGATAGATGATAGCTTTACATTTAAAGCTAAATGTAAAGAACAAAATAGTTAAAAAACATGTTTTTTAATCATTCTTCTTAACATGCTAGATACATTATTACCAGGAGGCTGAGACATAAAAGAAGCAGAGTCCACATACCTGTTTAAATCAGAAGCAAATATTTATAAATAACTATATTCTGCCATATATGTTCCTGGTATAAAAGTGAAAAATGTCCTCTGTATCAATGTTAACAGGATGCTAAAATGAAAGTTTTCACTAAAGACTACAACAACAAAGACCATGTTTTGAAAAGATATATGAGACTTTAATGCATAATTAGCCTTAATAATGAGGCTAATCTTGCCCAAGAGAAATGATCTTAAAGAGTGGTCTGGGGACCTATGAAGGACCTCAAGACACTTTCAGAGAATCAGCAAGGTCAAAACTATTTTCTTAATATTACTGAGATGTAATTTGCCTTTTTCAGAAGCACTCTGAATATGTAGTCAAATTTTCCAGAGGCTGACATGGGATATTGTAAAAGATTTAATGAAGAAGCAGAAATGAGACTCCAGCTATTTTAACTCAGACACCAAAGAAGTTCACAAAAAAATGTTAACAATGACACTCTTCTCACTATTTTTTTTTAATTTATTTGGGAAGAAACAGTTATTTTTCATAAAATTGCTATCTATGTTGTTAACACATAATAGGTTAATTATTGTTTATTTTTAGTGAATAACTAAATAATTTAAAGTTATTCCTACTAGCAGATCTAACAAACTCAGGAATATGAAAGGACAAAAAAAAAAAAAAAAAACTAGGTAGGGTAGTGAAACAAACTACATTCAACTTGCAATAGGCCCAAGTTTAGGAGAGGAATAAACCTTAAAAGAAACTTTAAAGCAAGATTGACATCTTCATATATATATATAAACATATATTTATATATATAAATATATATATATATATAAAACTGCACATTTAAAAATAGCTGTAATGGTAAATTTATGTCATATATATCAGTACAAATAAAAAAGTCTTTATTGTTTTATTACCATCTCAACAGAATATTAAATAAGTAATTATATACTGAATTTTATTATCCACCATCTCAACAGAATAAAGAAAAAGCACATGATCCATATGAATAGATGCAGGAAAGACATTTGAGAAAATCCAACACTTATTTACAAAAAAAAAAGTCTCAGCAAACTGGGAAAAGAAGGGAACTTTATAACCCGATAACCTGAAGGGTTATCTTAGTTTCTTTCGAGGAAGGATGAATAATCCTCATCAGGAAGTTGGAGGTATCACCACGTGAAAAATAAGATGATTAATATACCCTCAACAAGAGAA